GACACGAAGCCAACTGCAGCAAGCCGATGTATGGCTTATTTTGGTCGGTGTACGACTGAAATCAGCCATACAAGCCTGAAGTGAATAGCCGAACAGCGTTCGGCTCACTTCACTTCGGGTCGGTTATTCACTCGGCTGCCTACGGCAGCTTTGTGTATAGACCCCTAAATGTGTATGCATATGTGCATTATATTGAGCTTAACTGCATTACAATAGTAAAGTAGGGGATTTTAGTTAAAATACCACTAGTGTTAGACTTTAAATAACTAAGGGGGTTATTCATAAAGCTAGCCAAAGGATCAGCCGTAGCTCCGGCTGATTCTTCGGCTAGCTTTGGCTGCCAGAGCCCTTCGGTTCAGTTGAATTGAAGTGCTGCTGTACAGGCTATTCACTATAGCCCACTAAAGCCCGAAGGAAGCTGAGTGAATAACCCTGTACGTTTCGATGAGGTGTCTATTGAGGAGAGCAAGCAAAGAAGCTGTTTGAGGCGGTGATAAAATAACAATCCTTGAGCAAATACAATTATGAACCAAATACAAATTCCATAATGATATTTATATTTGTGAACTGAACATATTGATGAGAAAAGTATAATGATATAAAACAACAAACATCACTTAAAAAACGAATTTATCCTTTTTAAGTGAGCTTAAAGTGAGAGTATAATATTATACATAGTGAAGACATAATAAGGTAATACAGTTAGGATCAAATAATTCATCAGGTTTGTAACCTCAGATGCATATTCTATAATAAAGTTAAAAAAAATGATACAGCCAATCTATTCATCCACTTTTTCTAATATGATAAAGGGAGAATAATATAATAACATAACAATTAAGACATTTAGAAAATAAATAGTATCCTATTTTCATTTATTTTTACTGATGTCTAAATGATCTATTATTTCAAACAATGTTACACTCCAGAAATGTTATAGTTCATGCTGAATTTTTTTTTTAAATGTGCTGCACCCAAATATAACTGTGTTGTGTTTGCAAAAATAATAACAATGTATATTTTCTTAAATTAAATTATTTTTAAGTCTACAGATATGAAATGTTTAATTTATTTGCCACCTGAGGTAGAGACAGAAATATTTAAATGATTATGTATTTAAGTACATAATGCGATTTTATGAATGTATTGCTAGGGAAGAAGATATAGGGGAGAGGTAGGTAAATGCTTCACTTGGAAGCCATAATGAGAGGTTTAATGCATTCTGGAAAAGTCACATTAAAGGCCCAAGGCTGCTCTGCTCCCGTGTGCATTCATTCTGTTTGCCAATTAATTTGGCAGCACTTGCAAATTAGGCTGTGGAAGACTAAGGTGTAACAAGTTCAATTTTCATTCAGCTCCAAAGCTATTATAAATGAAACCAAACTCTGTCATAGTCATATCTTTTTGCAGCTGTAATATATACAAGTAGGCAGGGTTTAATTAAAGAGAAGGAGGAGCTTAACTCCTACAGAAGTTAAACTTAAGATCACTTTTCCAAAATAGCATAAAACCTTTGTAATGGAAAAAAAATGCATGTGCAGTGCTTACCTTTCCTATTTAATTTCAATATATAATTTTCTTGGATACAAATGTATTTGGTAAAAAGCTGCCAATATTTAAAGCTAGTTATAGTTTTTGTTTGTGCGTGATGCAATGTTTCTCTGTATTCCATTATGTCACCTATGTTCAATAATTGTATTAATTTTTTTTGTCCACAGTAAATGAGGGAGGTATAAAACAAGCATCAAATATGTGTCCTGACCCAGGAGAACCAGAAAATGGGAAAAGAATAGGCTCAAATTTTAGGTAACAACAATCCAAAATAATTTTGATTTAAATGGTTTTAAAGTTGATGTCACACGAGGCAGGCATTTTGTTAAACAAAAACACATTGCTGAAATTGCTTTTGCAAACTAATAGGATCAATTGAAACTGAAACAGTGTACCAATTCATAATTATCCAGCTTTAAAGGCCTTTGAAGTGGAAAAACTCGAAATCAACAAGTTGATGATGTCAGATGTTGCAATATAGCAAAAGATGTGTTCTCAACATCAACTGAAGAAGTCTATACTACATACTTAGTGCTAGGAAGTTCAGTGGACATACTGAGGTTGATTTAGAGGATGAGGTGCTAACTTCCATCATCCAATCATATGCAAGCAAAAACGCTGTTTTCATGTTCCTTACACATTATTGGGCATTCTTTGTACAGGGAATTTTCATCACATTCACAAAGCTAAGGAAAAATCCCCTTGCAAAGTGTACAGCTTTTTTGTCTTTTGTAAATCAACCTCACTGCGTCACCAAGGGACAGGCAGGGCAATTGCTTAATTGATACAAGAAGCACGAGTGATCATAAATACTGCATAATGACAGAAGACACACAAACCTGTTGGTCAGGCATGGGCTTAATGTACAGGATTTTCTTTTAGCATTCCTGAACTGGACAGTTGTGCACTGCAGCATGACCTTTATAAATTGAACACAATGGATTAGGTTGAACTCGAAGGACTTGTTTTTTTATTTATTTTTAAAATCTAACCAACTATGTAACAATGACCTGCACTAAAGTGCTGAGCAATGACCGGCAGGTGATGAGGGCTACAGGCTGATCATTACACCTAAACCTTAGTGAAAAAAAATAGCCTATACCACTTTCTCTTTCAGTCCACCCATGCTACCCTTTATACAGAAAATGGTTGAACCATTCAGTCTTTTCTCATTGAGAAATTATATCCTAAATGAGCACCTATGCATAAACGACAAGTGAATGGCTGGTAAGTCTAATTAGGCATGTGCACTTTTGCAAAGCACCCTCAGGATATTATTCATCAAATACATTTTTTTATATTAAATGGTCCAAATGTTTATAAAAGGGAATAGTCTGCACCCCCTGAAGTAGCAATTGGTACAGTTTAATCCTTGCCCCTGCCAGCTCAGAAAAAGATATGGTTTAGGAGTGCAAACTTTATAATACTATGAGTATATCTACTAGGGATGCACCGATATATCGGCCGCCGAAACATATCGGCCGAAAATCGCACTTTTGGCATAATGCCGAAAGAGCCATGTTTCGGCCGATACATCGGCACATCCCTGGTTTCTTTACTACTCCTCAGTTTCTACTACTGGTTTCACTACTCCTCAGAAAGTGACAGCCGGCCGAGCGCTGCAGTGGAGAGCGCTGTAAACGGCCGGCGTCTCTCCTCACACACCGCTCAGCCGCCTATCACAGTCCGGCAGAGCGGTGTGGGGGCGGAGACAGCGCTGTCACAGGAGGCTGGGCTTTCCTCTCTACACCGCTCGATCAGCCTCCTGTAACAGCGTGTCAGAGAGAAAAGCAAGGTACACACACTCAGTGATCAGTGATCGCTGAGTGTGTGTACATAATTGAGGATATGTTATGTTAACTATATCCTCAATTATGAATGGGAGTGATCTACATCACCCCCATTCGTTCATAATTGTGGTTATAGTAAACAAACAATGTTCTCATGTTATCAATGAACAGGAACACTCATAGAGGATTCCTGTTCATTGATAACAGGGGGACACAGAAAAAGAGATTGAGGACTTTGTGTTCTCAATCTCTTTTTCTATTTTAAAAGGGAAATATCAGGTGTCTGTTTAGACCCCTAATATTTCCCCAAAGCCCTTAAAAGTAAAGTAAAAAAATAAAAATATTTAATAAAAAAATGAATTATTAAATAAAAATGAATATACATTTTTTTTGAAAGTTTATAAAAAATACAATATTTAAAAAAATAAAAATAAAAAACATTTTCGGTATTGGTTTCGGTTTCGGCCTGACTTTTTTTTATTTTGATTTCGTTTCGGTTTTAAAATTTCCATTTCGGTGCACCTCTAATATCTACGGCTATGTTTTATTGTCAGGACAGGGTGAAAAAAAGATTACCATAATGGTCCTTCAAGTACATCAAAAAACCCTTCCCAGATAAAATTTAATAAAATGAAAATCACCCAGGATGTACTGATGAGGGATGTTTAAAAAGCACAATTACAAATGTACCAATTAAAATGTAAGAAAGAAGCAAAACACAAGTGGCAGGTTATCAATAGGCATGTGTGTATAAGCTATCTTTATCATACTGGTAAATCATTTCTCAATTTAATCATAGAGAAGGGTTGTAAAACAAATTTACAAAGGGCAGTGTCACCATTTAACAAGGACCAAATATGATATATCTTATCAGTTCGGGTGATAGAAATTATCAATATTTAATATGCTGTATTTGCTTTTCTTTTTTTACCTCTTTCCATTTACAGAGTTAAACTGCATTATAACAGAGAACCTGGTCTTTTGTATCTGTTTTATTGCTTTCCATAAACAGTATATACTATTCCGAAAGCAATTATTATTTTAAGGCTATCTGCTTTAATCTTTAAATGATCATTTTAGGGACTGTCTTTTTCCAAAAGGCTGAAAAAACTGTTTAGTGACCCAATTCTGGAATAATAAAGAAAACGTTAATTGGTAGCATGGGCCTGGGGTATGTAAGTTTTGTAAGCAATAGTAATTGTGCCAATCCTTAACTTTGGAGTAACCATTGTGTTATCTTGGTATGTGCCCCATTATGTTTTGTTTTAGCCTTGGAGCAACGGTACTCTATTCTTGTCATGAAGACTATGTCCTTCAAGGTGACAAAAAAATTACTTGTCAGAGGATTGCCGATGTGTTTGCAGCATGGAGTGATCATAGGCCTGTGTGTAAAGGTAAGTGTAGTGTCTGACAACCTGCACCCACCCACTATTCAGGCTTTCTCCTAGACATGAATGCCATCTGACTGGATGGCTATGAGTAAGTAGTGATATATGTCTACTCTCCACTATTCCCCCATACATTTTTATGCATATAGCTCACTCTGATCTGGGTTGACTTACTTTATTATATTGTTACTAATATGGAATCAGTCTTATTTTAGACACTAACTAGAATGCTAATAAAATATGTTCTACCACAAAACAGCTAAAATCTGGAAAGTGTTTATGTTGAAATTTGCAATATTGTAGCCTGGACAGCCAGCATGATTAAAGCAAACCTTGCATAAAAATGTAAGGTCAGCATGAAATAAAAAACATTAACCAGATTAAATATTACAAGAACAAGAGGAAAAAATACTTACCTTCAGCTTCAGGAAGGTTCAGGGTCACAAATTCAATACGAATGCACTCCCAAACAGTGATAATCTCTTTAGGTGAGATTTAAAATATTAGCTTTCCCATGTTACTATCACAACAGAAAGTGGGTAAAAGGCTAGTATTTTTTAGTTTCTCTTAAAATTAGATTTTTTTTATTTAACTAAGTTAATTAAAATGAATTAATTTTACTATTCAGGGGGTTGGCATTTTCATGTAAGGGTCACATACAGTATATTATGCATAAGTAAGTTGACAAGGGAAAAATAATTTTTGGTATACTTAAAGCAAAATGCAGCAAAACAGCAGCAAAATGACACAACAGACCATCTCTTCACTGACCAGCTGGCAAACTCAGACAGTGACTCTTCAGTACAACACAAAAGAACAGTCTCATCAACCTGAAGATCTCAGAGCTGCAATCGCAGTTAAACAGTCCCAGACTTCCAGGTTAACTTTCCCAGTCTACAGATGTCCAGCAAGATTACTGATATTCAAACTCACAGCAGTACACAAATCCCCACTCTCCAACCTCCTCCACACTACTCCTCACCTGCTAGCTACCACTTCCTGTCTTTTTAAACACACACTTCCTCCAGCAGGTGAGTTTACCCTGTATTGTCCTTTAAAGAGACCACAGCCCAAACAGAGGGGAAATATAGTGTCCTTCCATTATAGACGCTCGATCGCTTGTATCAGAAGCTGTCACATGATCCATAAAGAATCATCCCTTCAGGGAAGCCTATCCCACCTCAAACTAACTACTGAACTAACACGTACCCAAACAATTCTTCCCCACACAGCTACCTCCTAATGTATCACTTGCCCCTCCCTTTTAGATTGTAAGGGCCCTCTTTACCATCTTGTCTTGAATTGTATTGTAATGTCTTCCTTATATTGTAAAGTGCTGCACAAACTGTTGGTGCAGCACTTTACAATATAAGATGCCCATTCATATTTGTTCAGTGATGTCACCTGTGATCCTCTATCCCTTTGTGCCACAAGATTTAAATACAAAGAGAGACCTCCACCACTCTTAACACATCAAAGTTCCACTACTTGTGTTCATCGCTGGCCAGAGAGCCGTCCATACTACACAGCAAAGTCATCCCAAAAAATAGTTGCACACTGCCAATCTTCACCTAGCAATTCTTCCTGCAGATCACAAGTCTTGAGTTGACTGGATTTTACAAAGAAGAGCTGGGTGAAGATAGGCAGTGTGTGGCTGTTTTTGGGATTGGCAGGGCCACAAAAGTGGATCATCTTAGCGGTTGCTGTGTTTTGCTGTAGCAGGCCGCCAGACATTAATCATCATTATTAACATGGATCTGCACCACTGGACAATTTGATTGATGAGGGATTTACATAATGGAAATCATTTTAAAGAAATGTTGTCACTGTGTTGTGTGCTTACTATCTACCCCTTACTCATTCAAGTAGGTGGGGGCTGGATATTTGTAAGCCTTCTTGGAGACTGGATGTGGGGAAGAGGCTGCTGCACCTATCGACAGGGTGACAAGGTGCCTTGTTGGGGGAAGGCTTTTCTACCTGCCCACAAAGTACCTTCCCCATGTTGAGGATATGAGGCTTGCTATTGTCTACTGATTAATGCCCCTCCCTTTGCTGGCCTGTCAGGCTATATGTTTAGATAAGGGTCTGGCATGGGGGGATTTTTCAGGTTTTTGTGTGTGGTATCCCCTTAAAATCCATATTGGATATGGTCTGGTAAAGATTTTGAGAAGGACCCCATGTAATATTTTTTTGCAAAACATCATTGGTTGTTATGATGCAGGCCATTGATGCTATTGGTTTTTTGGAAGCAGACAGCTGGCCCAAACACATTGTCCTTGCAAGCTAGGGTGCAGGTGACCCTGCACCCTTTTTTTGGTTATTTGCATGTGGTCCCCCCTTACAATCCATACCACACCCTCATCTAGAATAAGTGTCTGCTTTAAATGTTTAAAGGGAATCCATGGCTGTTTTTTTTTTACAAACTGAACAAAAGTGGTCAGAATTGCAGTGGAAGAAAAAAAAGAGTGCATTTTTTTTTCTGACAGTCATATACTTTTATGTTGAGCCCTGCAGAAATTGAATCTTCTTCATCCTCAGTAACAAGGAGAGATAATTTGGCAAGATGTCAGGTTTTTCAAAGAATTGTGGGGAAAGTGCCTTAACGAGGCAGCAACCGCTTCCAATTCTCTCGACATCCTGGATCTTATCCAACGGGCAGTAGCCAAACGGGTGAGGCAAGCTGGCCATTCCCATAAGAGAATAAGAGCAAGCAGTTCCCGATTTGCATTGTCAGATGCATGAAAGGGGAGAGGAGGTTCTGTCACCCTCAAGCAGACACTTTGCGGGGCAGAGACGGAATTAATCTTCCTTTCCTGTGAGTAAGATCACAAAGAAACTCATGAAAGAGGGCTTGTTCACACAATGTCCGGATTCTGTCCAGACTAGAGCAGTTCACACCTGCACTAAAAACGCATCACAATGTATCCCTATGTGTTTTATGGGCCCCAGATAACACGAACGCAGTGCTTTCCATTCCGGACAAAGATACTGCATGTCACATTTTCTCTGGTCCGGAAAGCGCATGCTTCCAATTCTCTCGACATCCTGGATCTTATCCAACGGGCAGTAGCCAAACGGGTGAGGCAAGCTGGCCATTCCCATAAGAGAATAAGAGCAAGCAGTTCCCGATTTGCATTGTCAGATGCATGAAAGGGGAGAGGAGGTTCTGTCACCCTCAAGCAGACACTTTGCGGGGCAGAGACGGAATTAATCTTCCTTTCCTGTGAGTAAGATCACAAAGAAACTCATGAAAGAGGGCTTGTTCACACAATGTCCGGATTCTGTCCAGACTAGAGCAGTTCACACCTGCACTAAAAACGCATCACAATGTATCCCTATGTGTTTTATGGGCCCCAGATAACACGAACGCAGTGCTTTCCATTCCGGACAAAGATACTGCATGTCACATTTTCTCTGGTCCGGAAAGCGCACACGAACGCCTCAAGACGCAACAAAAATGTGCCAGAAACGCACAGCACTGCAGCTAACTGAAAAGAAAAATGGAATGCGTCTGGAATGCGGTAAAAACACATCAAATGCACGTCAAAAAACGTGCTGCACACATTGCTCAGCATCTGCAGATCTGCTCCAGATCGGGACCAGAAAATGTTGTGAACAGGCCGTAAGGGCAAGTTCATAACATATGCAGTTGTGATGCAGTCCATTTATTTTGACTGCTGCAGTCAAAATACATCACAATGCTTTCCTATGGGCTTTCTTGTGCCTAATTCACACCATTGCAGTCAGTTCAACTGCAGTCAGGAAAAGTACTGCTTGTCCTACTTTACCTGCATCTAACTGCACTAAACGCATCAAAACGCAGTGCAAACGCATCACAACAGATTGCAATGCAACTGCGCAGACGCACACAATTGTGATGCAGTTTCTGGTGTGAACTAACCCTAAAACCTATACTGTGTTAGGCATACGCCTTCAGCCGGCAGTGGCCTTATCTTCGGTATCAAGAACTTCTAAATTCTGGATAGATCTGGAGGATGATATTAACAGGGGAGTGAGTGGACACAGTCTCCTGGATAGGATACACGATATGAAATTTGGCACCTGATTTCACTACGGGATCCGTGTCCAAGGGTATGATATCCTCTTTAGTAGCCCGCCGGGCACTGTGGCTCAGACCATGGGGGGCCGATTCTTCCTCAAATAGCAGCCTATGTTCCTGGGCATTCCAAGGTGATATGCTTTTTGGCCTGAAATTGGATAGCTATATTAAAGGCTATCGATGGCATTAAAGCGGTGTTACCTCAAGAGAGGAGAAACCAGAGAAGCTATAGAGATTACAGGATTCGCCAAAATTATACTACTTTTCATGACTCCAGGACCTACAAACCTGAAAGAGAATCTACTTGATCAATGAAGGTGTCGGTCCAAGAGATGTGAGAGTCGGGGTGAGACTATAACTATTCTTAGATCTCTGGGAAGAATCAATAGCAGACGCTTGGGTACTGAAGATAATCGCTGAGGGATACAAACTGGGATTCAGATTGTTTCCCCCAAAAGGCAGGTTCATAGTGACCAAACTCCCAAGGGACTTGATGAAGAAACGGGCTATGTTTGACTTTGGGGGTTCCCTTTCATCCCAAGATGTCATAACTGCGGTACCCGAGCAGCAAGAGTTCCAGAGGTTCTATCCCATTTGTTCCTAACTTCCGAAGCAAAATTATGTTGGAGGCCAGTCTTGGACTTATACCAGCTTAACCGATTCATCCGCGTCAGGAAGTGCAGAATGGAGTCCCTCCAAACGATCATACAAGTGGTACATCCAGGGATGTGTATGATGTCCATAGAGCTGACGGATGCGTACTTCCATGTTCTCATTGCTCCAGATCAGCAGAAGTTCCTAGGATTTTGTATCGGTCAGGGCATTTTTAATTCAGGGCAATGCCATTCGGGCTCAGCAACGCCCCCAGGACTTTTTCTCTGAATATCTGGTTACCATTGTAGCATAGGTACTGAAACTGTACCATTTTCCATTATCTTGACAATGT